TAATTGCATTTTTTTTTTAAATTTCATTTCGAAGACTGGTTGAGCAGCCATACACCGTATTTAAGCGAAGGTCTTACATTAGAATAGAGAATGGAAACGCGGAATGTGTTAAAAAGACAACAACCCGACCAAATAGCATAAAACAGTCCAGGGCCCCCAATGGGTCATCAACGTAGCGCGAAAATTCCCAACCCGAGGGCGGGCTTCAGCTGATCCCTGAATTAACTTACTTATGTAATGGTCGACGCTTTTATATTTCTGAAAGTTAACAAGTGCGCATTAAAGTAATGTCCGATCAAAAATTAATGTTACCTGACATCGTTATTGTTATGACTCAATGTAATCGTTGGATTAATTTACAATTAACAATTAACATCAACATCAACATCATTGCATATGACGTCCATTTGATGTATACTGATATATATATATATATGTTATCTGGCATATATATGTTGTCTTAAACATATATGTTGTCTTGGATATGTATGTTGTCTTGGATACATATATTTCTTGGATATATATGTTGTCTTGAATATACATGTTGTCTAGGATATATATGTTGTCTAGGATGTATGATTTTATTAGTTTTTGGCTATGAACTAGCTTTCAGTAACTGAATAATCTTAGATTGGTACTTTGTTTCTTTATAAAAATATTAAAATGAGGGAAGTATAACCGCAAATCCAATAAGAAACTAATCAGAAAATAATGAAGTAGACGTTAGTAAGGGAATATAAGGAGATGAGGTATGATTGCCAATGAGACAACTATCTACAGGAGTTCAAATGAAGTTGATGTAAGCAATTGTAGGCAATCATACGGCCCTCTACACAAAGTGTTTTTTTTAAGCTTTTTTAATCTGTGTATCGATATGAGTCAGGTCTTTTATAAAAGATATTTTTTAGGGGGGCGGGGCTTTTATTATTTTATCGATAGTTGCTTTATTGACATTCATCCCATTAACTTTTATTTCAGTTTATATACAACTTACCAGCCATCACGCTGAAACTTCTAAGTCCAATTTTGCTTCAACCTGATGTTATGATGATGCAGACCACAAATATGATAGTTATTGTTAAATCTCATATGAAAAGATACATGTATAAAATTAAGAATGCATGACAATTAAAACTACCAATTGTGAATCTTAATATTCAATACTTTTAGTACAATCTCCACAAGTTAAAGCATATTTCGTAATAAGTAATAAAAAAAAGCATTCTATACACATTTGATCATGCGTCCGTATATTTAAACATGCATTGGGATAGTAAACAGGATATGCGAAAAAGGTAAAATAACAAAAATCACGAACTCCATGGCAAACTCCAAACGGAAATGGCAAATATAAAAGCTCAAACACATCAAACGAATTAAAAACAATTGTTGTATTCCTGACTTGGTACTACCATTTCCTTATGTAGAAAATGGTGGATTAAACCTGTTTTTATAGCTAGCTAAACCTCTCACGTTCATGCAAGTCGCCTAGAATTCCACTATCTTGACAACAATGTGTATCACAATAAGAACAAATAACTAGTTCCACAAATAAAAACAGAATGGCATATGAACATTCTACAGATCAAGTACATAAGGAAAAATGAAAGACAAGAATACAAACCAAAGTACAATAACACAATGTGGCGGGATGTATAAATACCGAGCCATGTCAAAAGTATATTACCAAACCTGGACTAAACAGTAAAGTTTAATAATATACAATGGCAAATAAAAAGAACACTATAACACGTAATGAAGATGATAGTACCGAGAATCTATACTGTAAGACCATCATGTATCATTTGTAAAGTTAATATATATTTATCAACTAGGTCTTGGTATCTTTCAATGGCCTGTTTCAGAAAAAAAACGAGACATTCTTGGACATAATCCTGGTTCATCAACTTTTATTTAGTCTGAGTAGCAGCCGCAAGCTGCTGAATACCGAATGAGTTGGGAAATGTATATCCCATATGCAGGTGATGTTGGCATATTGCTGTTAAGGTGGGGGAAATTTATAATTTTAAATTTAAAATCGTCTTGTTTGTCATATATTCTGGTACTGACATGACCGCTAATGTCAAATTCAAAGTATAAGTCTAAACATGAGGCGGAGGAAGCCGTGTCTGTTGTTTATTTAATTTCTAGTTCTGAAGGAAATATTAATGGAACCCAATCAGAAAAGTTTTGATTGTTAATGGGAAGAAAATCATCAATATATCTTAACGTGAAATTAAATGACCTGTTATTAACAAGGTTTTTTTTCAGGGTATGCAATACAGGATAATTTTATATATAAAGGTTTAATTGAAGCGTCTATATGAGAATTTTGGAACAACTTAAAATATGATTTATCTGAATAGTACATGGTAAAAATAAAAGGTTATGTCTACCTGTCATATCGATGAGTGAAGGTAATGATTCATCATACAAAACTCGATATATTAAATTAACTATTATGACTTTGATGACACTTTCTGATCATTCTTTATTAAAATTTTAATGTACACGGTGTTTATAGTGTTCATAGGAAAACTGTCACATGCGTTACTCTGTCCCATAGACTTGCACTTAGCAAAAGAAAAAAAGATTTTGTAGAATTATAGCCTCCACATAAAATGTGCGGTCATTAATTGGTGCTGGAGAGTAACTCAACAAGAAAACGATAATATGTACTCGACCAGTATTGTTAACAGACTGTGTTAAAACACGCAATCTTTGATGTCGGGAACATTATTTTTTGGGCAACAGTAGTTTACCGATGTTCAGATCCTTTCCAACAATATACAAAACGAGCATAAACAAAAAATGAGGAGCGAGACGGGATGCAATGCCAGTGTGAGCGTCTCCTGCTATATATTCATCGCCCGATATACCAATCCACACCCAGTAAACATGTCAAAATTTGGATTGAAGGATTGTTTGTTGTTCCACGTCCAGTGGCAAAATTTGTTCACGAAATCTTTAAAACACATGGCTCGAACAAAATTTGATTTTTCCTTTTTTATGCGGTTGCTGTATGAACCATACTCAAAAATAAAGCTACCTATATGACAAGTCGTTGTTATATTCATATTTGTTTCTTATCTATACATTATTCTCCTGTTGGAGACCGTATGTTAAAATGCAAGTCGAGTTTTTTATTGTTTTTTTTTATCTAGAAATAAGATGTGATATGAGTGTCAATGAGACAACTCTCCATCCAAGTCACAATGTGTAAAAAGAAAACAATTATAGGTCAAACCTATACCAAAGGTATTAACCACATCAACAAACAACAACCACTGAACAACAGGTTCCTGACTTATCTGTTGTTTTTTGTGTGAAGAATAATTTTTACTCAAAATTTAATGCATAGAACACGCTATAATGCTCCCAGTAGTATTTAGAAAACACTCTGATCGTTTTTTTTTCCCGTTGGTTGATGTGTCGTACAAATATGCACTGGATCACTTACTATTCTTACTAGATTAACGGGAACAGAACAAAATCAAACGCGAACACTTGATCGTTGGAAAATGTCTTTCCTCTAAGTAAATAAGGAAGATATCCTGAAACACAATTGTTTGAACACCTTAACTAAACAGTTGTTAGTATCAGGGGTAAATAATCGTGAAACTAAACCAACCAAGGTACAATTGAAAATTCAAAATCTAATAAAGACTTTTAGTATAATTTAACCCTAAAGCATCACCAAATCCGGATAAAGAATTAGATAGTTGGTGGATTGATTGTTGGTTGATTAACGTCAAGTGGAAAATATTGTCTGCATGTTCAGGACAAGAACAAATTTACAGTTCATACAATAGGAAGGTCTTGTAATCGAGGCCGACAGGAATGACGGTCGGGGAAATTTAGACTGCAACGGGAAAAAGAGGCTATATTGGATAGGGACATATATTTTGCCTTCTAACAGCCCACATATGACCTATCTAGGATTAATAACAAGGGTTCTCAACGTATACAGAGCATGACACTTTCTCTACACAAGACATCGGATTTTAACGTCCCTATTTTGACCGAAAAATATTTCTGAAAACTTTACGACAGAATATTTCGAGAGAAAACTAATTAGCCAGGAAGAGGTCGCCTCCATTAATTGAAAATATATACATGGGCAACGATCTATTGTTATAAAATATTAAAGCAAAAATGGCAAAGCCAAAATAAAGGTCTTCAAAGCCTTCTCTTCTAGCATGTAGATGCATTTTGACTCAACGGTAGGAAATATGAAATTGCTTTCAGTTGTCTTCTTTAGAAATCTCGTCATAACTCACTCTGTTTGTAAACATGTATATACATCGCATGTATTTATCTATTATAAGATTTATTTTTTTCGGTAATGACAAGTTATATTGGTCTCTTTGTTAGTAATGAATTAAACAAATATTAAGAATACAAAAAATCATAAAAAACATCAAATTAGCATTAATGCGTGCAGAAAAAAAACTGGACACTTTTAATTTGCAAAACACTCATTTGCAAATCTGCCGCCGCCTCTCCTTAGACCTACAGTGTCGTGTAAATAACCAAAATGTGCGGAATTACATGGGATTCAATAATTTTATTGCTTTTCTGCTGTTATTATTATATATATTTTGTAATTTGATTTAGAAAAACATGGGATTTTCAATATCCCATGGGATAAGGCAAATCCCATGGGATTGACCATTATCCCATGGGATTTTGGTTAAATCCCATGGGATTTTTTTGGGTCCCATGGGATAATTGTAGTCCCATGGGACAAAAAAAATCCCATGGGACTATAATTATCCCATGGGATTTTTAATATCCCATGGGACAAAATAAAATCCTATGATTCAAATTATAAATATACAGTAAATAAATGTGTATGTTACAATGAATTCTGTTTGGTAGTAAATTGTTTTAAGATGAATCTTTTTAGTTGAATATCTTTTTTTTCCTTGGAAATGTTAATGCAATTATATTGTTCTATAACTGTTCAAAACTAAACTTTTAAACAACAAAGCAGATAATGTAAGTATCAATATATGTTTATTTATGAATTCTAGAACACTTTTTTGAAACACAATTTTTTCCCATTTGAAATCAATGAAAACTCTATTAATAGGCTTAACATACTAGTAGCTTTTTACATAAATCTATTTTTTTTTCAGGATATCCCTCCACCCAAAAAATTAATAGTTTCTTATCATCCAGCATTGTGTGATCGTAATGTATAGTCCACTTTTTTGCCATTCAGCACAGAACATTGTCATTATTGTGGTTTTAATATCTTTAGATATTTAATAGAACTGCAATTCATTGGCTGAGTGATGAAAATAATAACTGATCTGACTTTTGTCTTTGAATTTATTTTGGTCTTGTTTCTGTGTTTTCTCCTTCTATTCTCAGTGATGAATTCCAATCCTTCTGAAAAAGAACCAATAAAATCCGAAGTTATGGATAATAAAAAAATGTATACATACATGTAGCAAGAACATATGATTTTCAATAAAAATAGCTATGCGGTATGAATTTTACTGATTGTTGAAGGTTGTCCAGTGTCATCAGTTGCTAACCTCCTACATCCTTTGGTCTCTGATGGAGAGTTGTCAAATTAGCAATATACCACATCTTCCTATTCTAATATTATATAACAATCAATTTATGTATTCTTCTTTATAACATTTGGGTATTTTCCCCAGTTATATATATATAGATCAATGTTAAAACTTTAGGCAATTACAATAAAATTCCATTTTTCACAAGAATTTGCAATATATTATACAGAAAGCCAACAATAGAAACAGCACTTCTTTAAGCTTCTGAAGTTCTGAAAGAGTTCCACTTGTGTTTTATTTCAATTAGAAAATACATTGAACTCTTTGGACATGTTGGAAATTATAACATTGATACAAAAAATTATATTGTTTTTTTTTTCTTATTTTTGTGTTGTTCGGTTGCTGTCTCATTTTTATATATGGTTATACATATATCCTAAATCTTCTTTTTTATATACTTAATCATTAATACACAATGTAGTAAAAATGGGATATTTTTTATTTTGATAATCTCAAAACATTATTATTCTATCAAATAACTTATTTCCAAGTTCACAAAACACCAATGTGTCAGATATTAATTTTAAGACATGTATAAACATGATCAACAAGCAGTTGACAGGATGTCATGCAAAAATCTCACTAATATTAAACTTTCACAAAAAACTCCATACTCAGCGAGTACTATTAAAGTTCTTAGTACAGGACAAATTCCTAGTACAGGACACAATGCCTGGCAAACACTAGCATGTGTCAATGTCTAGTCAATCATGTAATCAGGCTCAAAATCTTATTTTGGCACTGAATTTAAAAATTCACCACATAATGAACATGTGCATGAAATTCAACTTCATGGTAAGCTATGTACCTTAACCTAAAACTTTAACCTAAGAATGTACTATAATTTCACATTATGACATTTCTATGTTCAGTGATCCACAAAATCAGGGTAAAAACAGTAAATGTGGTGTTTAATGTATACACAAGAGTGCACACACTGAAATGTGGCGCCTTCTTTACTAATGATTGATATCATGTTGATAGTCCTAAATATAAAGCTTTACTACAACTATCACATAAACTCAACATGATCCAAGAAAATGAATTCAAGGTCATATAAACCTGACAAGAAATATATGTACACCTTACAATCATTCAAATTACTAAATACAGTTGACCTACCGGTATTGCTTATAGTTTCTAAGAAGCAGACTTAACCAAGAAAACTAAACATTGACCAATGAACCATGGAAATGAGGTGAAGATCAGATGAACCATGCCAGGCAGACATGTACAGCTTACAATCCTTCCATACAACACATATAGTTGACCTATTGCTTATAGATTAAGAAAAACAGACCAAAACACAAACACTTAACACTGAGCAATGAACCGTGAAAATAAGGTCATGGTCAAATTAAACCTGCGGGACTGACATGTACATCATAAAATGTTTCCATACACCAAATATAGTTGACCTATTGCATTTAGTTTTAGAAAAAAAGACCAAAACTCAAAAATTTAACTTTGACTACTGAACCATGAAAATGAGGTCATGGTCAGATGACACCTGCCAGCTAGACATGTACACCTTACAATCATTCCATACACCAAATATAGTAGACCTATTGCATACAGTATAAGAAAAACAGACCAAAACACAAAAACTTAACTATAACTACTGAACCATGAAAATGAGGTCAAGGTCAGATGACACCTGCCAGTTGGTCATGTACACCTTACAGTCCTTCCATACACCGAATATACTAGACCTATTGCTTAAAATATCTGAGATATGGACTTGACCACCAAAACTTAACCTTAAATATAAAAAAGAAGATGTGGTATGATTGCCAATGAGACAACAATTCTACACAAGAGACCAAATGACACAGAAATTAACAACTATAGGTCACCGTACGGCCTTCAATAATGATTCATACACTGAACCATGAAAATGAGGTCAAGGTCAGATGACACCTGCCAGTTGGTCATGTACACCTTACAGTCCTTCCATACACAGAATATACTAGACCTATTGCTTAAAGTATTTGAGATATGGACTTGACCACCAAAAGTTAACCTTAAATATAAAAAAGAAGATGTGGTATGATTGCCAATGAGACAACAATTCTACACAAGAGCCCCTAATTCCTAAAATTTTGAGGCAATTACCCCCAAAATCAATCCCAGCCTTCCCTTAGTAGTATGGTACCTTGCAGTACAATTTCAGAGAGATCCATACACTTGAACACAAGTTATTGTCTGGAAACTAGAAAAATGCTTATTTTTGGCCCTTTTTTCCTAAACGTTTTGGGCAATTACCCCAAAACTCAATTCCAGCTTTCTCTTTGTGATATGGAACCTTGTAGTACAAATTCAGAAAGATCCATACACTTACACACAAGTTATTGTCATGAAACTAGAAAAATGCTTGTTTTTTGCCCCTTTTTTTGGCCCCTAATTCCTAATATTTTGAGGCAATTACCCCCCAAAACCAATCCCAGCATTCCCTTTGTGATATGGAACCTTGTGGTACAATGTCAGAGATCCATACACTAACACACAAGTTATGTCTGGAAGTTACAAAAATGCTTATTTTTTGCCCCTAATTCCTTAACTGTTGGTACCATAACCCCCAAAATCAATCCCAACCTTTCTTTTGTGGTATTGAACCTTATGGTAAAATTTCATAGAGATCCATTCACTTAAACTAAAGTTAGAGTGCGAAAACCAATGTGTCTTCGGACAACGACGACACCGACGACAACATCATACCAAAATACGACCGCAAAAAAATCAGTTGAAAGAGGCTTAACTCATCAGATGGATAAAAATACAAATACTACAAATACAAGTGGACGTGGCCGGGTACTTGTACATCCAAACAACAAAAAGACACTAAGTACAGATCTGAGAGTACTCGCAGTTACTGACAGCTAGTACAAAGCCACTAACAACTAATAAAAAAAATCATGCATCTAAGACTAAGTTCTTGTTCACTGATCCATGAAATGAGGTCTAGGTCAAGTGAAAACTCTCTGACGAGCATGAGGACATTGCAAGGTACGCACATACCAAATATAGTTATCCTATTACTTATAATATGAGAGAAATTAACATTACAAAAAATCTGAACTTTTTTTTCAAGTAGTCACTGAACCATGAAAATGAGGTCAAGGACAATGGACATGTTTCAGACAGAATTCGTATCATGAGGCATCTATATACAAAGTATGAAGCATCCAGGTCTTCCACCTTCTAAAATATAAAGCTTTTAGGAAGTTAGCTAACGCCCACTGCTAACGCCACCGCCATAGCCGCCACCGGATCAATATCCCTATGTCGAGCTTTCTGCGACAAAAGTTACAGGCTCGACAAAAATACATGAACATTTTAAAGTACTAAATTTTGAGTATATACATGTAAAACCACAAGTTACTAACTGAAGTTCATGGTGAACTGTAACCAAAAACTTAAAGTGAATACAATTTAGAGAACGACAGATGGATGCACAAACACTATCATAACAGAGCATAAAACTTACCAAACAAGATGTTTTACATTTATCCTTCAGAAGCAGGAAAACTGAAGTGTTTCTTTTCTTTCTCTGCCCTCCAGGATATAAACTTCAAATTCATTCATGCAAAATATGAAAATCTGCAAAAGTAGGACTTTGTACCGCAGCTTATCCACATTTTGACTTTTGAACTGCATTTTTCTTTTCATCTTGCTGGCAACCTAAACATAAAAAAAAATGATAAACACATAATTCTGGATTAACTTCTGTATTTATTTTTGTTGGTACAAACAATTTTTTCCAACTTTAAACTAAATCTGCCTCTGCTTTAAAAATCAACTGAAAACCATGTATTTATCTTAATTGAAAACAATTTCTCTCATTTGTATCACCCTGTTATTATATATAAATTTTATTTTTGTCCCTTTTTAAAAATAGGAATGGTTCAAATTCCTCAATAATCATGATAATTCTAGTCAGTCAATTAATAATGTATGAATAAATTATTTAACCTGTATACTATCATGACTATTAATATAAATATATTTCATTTTTGATCAAAACTAGGCTCTGTGTTGAAGACCATACCTTGACCTATAATGGTTTACTTTTATAAATTGTGTGACTTGGATGGAGAGTTGTCTCATTGGCACTCATACCACATCTTCCTATATCTACAGATTCTATGGGCGAGCAGACATTATACCCTGGAGGTGGTTTTAAAAAAAGCATACGACTTAGATGTACCATAAGCATGGAAAAACAATTCAGCAGTCAGTTTCACAAAAAAACTTACAAATAATATTGATAGTAATTAAGTCATGTACAATACAGTATACTTACGATAAATTGTAAGTTTTTTTTTTTTTTGTAAAACCGACTCAAGTATACTTATAATCAATCTTAGATCGTAAGTATTAAGTATTATTCATCTTTTGGATAATTTGTTGGTTTATTTTATGAATATACAGTGGCAGATCCAGAACTTTTCATAAGGGAGGGCCGGCTCCAGTCATGCTTCAGTGATCCCTATATAATCAACCAAATTTTTCCCAAGAAACTTACAAGTCCACAGCATGCCGGTGCCTGTGACTGTGACTGTGTTCAAAGTGGTGAGTTTTCACCCTCGTTGTATTGCGGAATAACGATTTAGGCAAATTGAGAAAAACATCATGTCTGTGGTTGATAATAGTGTGTGTGCATTAATTTAATTTTCTATACCTTCTTATTTAATATTTTTCCAATTTTGAGTACTGACGGCAAGTGTTGTAACCAATGTCTTGAGACCAATGTGCTATTTACAAGTGCGATCGAAATATGCAGGGGAAAGAAACTTATCAATTATGTTTATTCTTAAGACAAAACTGAGCCGCCGTAAAAATGAACCGTGTCGAGGAGGTTACTGACACGTAATAGGACAGAGACATATTTACACATATGTGTATATATGTCTCTGTAATAGGGTCATCCCTCGAGAACATTAACCAGTACATTGATAGTTTACTATGTTTTTCTGTGTTCTTTATTTTTTTTTTGCTATATTTCTACAAACTTACACTTTTTGCTCATTACTCTCTTTCCTCATATTTTAGCATTTCATTATTCTTTAATCTTTATTGTTTGCCCGTTATTCTCTATTCTGTTAACCCCCATCCATACTTAAGCTTTCGGTAGTTTATTTTATCCTATTTCTGTCTAAATACATTATTTATCACAAAACACAAACTTACTTAATAATTTTTTATGAAGTCCTCACCAGTTGCGGATCCAAAAAATGTCATAAGGAGGCACTAACTGTCATGCATAAAGAGGGGGCCCGCTTCATTGATTCTCTAAATAATCAACCAATTTTTTTCCAAAAAAGGGGCGGCCCCCCATGCCCTCACCTTAATCCACCTCTAAACCCTTCCCACTTCGTATCCTTGAATTCAGATTCAAGATCTCTCTGACAAAAGTAAGTAAGTAAGTCACTTGCTTATATCAGGTTTTTGAATTGAACTGGCGGATAGTTGTTTCATTACCAATCGTACCACATCTCCTTATTTATATATATACGAAAGCTTTATTCATATTTTTTGGTGTATTGATGAATGTGTAAAGATGCAGCAATTGTAATACATTTTAAAATACAGCACAAGAGATGCAGATTATATAAAACCAATCTCACTATACAAATCCTTGGTAAAACTTATAAGTCGAAGACATACTGACAAACGCCATGG